ATCCGTGAGTTTACAGCTTGTCGCAGCTAGGGCACTTCCTGAGTGTCTCTTCCAGCTCTTCCATGTTCAGAGGAGGAAACTGAGCCCAGGAAACTGTTGCCTGGGGTTACAGAGAGCAGGGACTGGCATCTGGCCTGGCTGCCATTCCCTCTGTGACAGTGACAATAGCGGTGTGCCTGGGCAAGGACAGGCACACAGTCTCCTTTCCAGAAAGGCAGTGCACCAGGCTGTGTGGGTGAGGATGGCCTTCTGAGTAGACTAGACTGGAATAGGTGTCATAGGGTGACCCTGAACCCCGCCTTTACGAGATGAGGCATGTCCTCTTCTATATATCCCGGGCAGGTCAGGCTGGCCCAGCTTCAGAGAGACATGGACAGGCACCTCTAATGTAGGAACATCCTTCTCTTCCTTCCCAGCCTCCTCCGGATGACCTTGGCCTCTGGGCTATGTGTTTGCCTTTCCTGACTTCCTCACAGTGTGGCTCCACCCAGGATGTGAGCGGACAACTTGTCTCCCAAGAGGAAGCATTGTTCCTAGGATGGATTCAGGTCCAAGAGAAGCCATTTGTTTGGGGATCTGGCCCCAGGAACTGGGTGGTACGCCAAGCTTTGATCAGCCGCCTTTGGCAATATAGTCAGTTTGGGACGGGAAGGAGCTGTCCTTAGAATAGGAATGGCCTTTCTTCACATCCTCTGCTGATGGAAAAGACATTTCTTCTCTTCTCAGGACCCATGGGGAGGAGCCAGCTGGGGATCAGAACTAAAGAACAAGCATGTGCTTTGATACCCTCTGAAACCCTGGGTCAGGGTCCTGAAAGATTATGCCCTAACCTCAGAGCCTGGAGGCTGCTTTGCCTGGGGTCCTGATGCAGCCTCCGGTGGTGCTCTTGGAACCCATGGAGACCCGAGCCTGTTCTGGGGGAGGCCAGAAAGAAAGCCTAGGTGACAAGAGACCTTGGCTATAGTCCTGGTGCTGCTAGAAGACACCTGAGCAGGACCCTTCAAAGTCTCAGTTTTCTGTCTCGAGACAAAAGAGCTTGGGCCAGTGGCCCTCCGAAGGTCAGGTCTCCTTCATCTTGAGGGCTCTGCAGGATGTAAACCCCGCTTGGGACTGCATAAAAGTCTCCTGGGGAGGCGTGTGGCACAGGTTATTTCTGACTGTATTCATAGACAGTGAAGCCAACAGATGAGGAGCCACCGCCATTGCAGAGATGGTTTGTTATTCACAGTTCCCAGGAGGAGGGGGATGGTAAGCCATGCCACACCAGGATGCTGGGGGTGGAGGGGGAAGAGTGTGATGAACCTTGGCTGTGGTTTGTGGGGAAAGGGATGGGTGAGGCAGGGTAGGGGCCCGCACAGCTTTAGGACTGGACAGCTTGGATAGCTTTAGTGGGCTCTGGGCTGTAGAGGGATCTGACGTTCCTGATTCCTGGTCCTGGAGATACTGCTCTGGACTACAGGAGGGAGAAAAAAGGCCAGCATGGGGCTGTGGACTCTGGATAGGCCGAAGAGTGAACAGGAAGCTAACTCTTTCTGGGAACTGGTGAACCTGGGCCGTCTTTACATCCCAGAATCTTTGAGGCTGCAAGCTTTCAAAATATTATAAAACACAGAAAACAAAGTAAAAGAGCGCCACAGGGGTCAGATCAGGGTGCTACTGTGTGAGTTAAAGACAAGCAGCCCCATAGGCAGCAGGCCCATCAGGGCACAAGGCTTAGATTAGCCCTTTCTGGTCCCTGTTCTGGCATCTCATCAGGCAGCCATGGAAAGCAGGTCAGATTGAACAAATTAAAACACACGATGACCTGTTAACCTTGAACTTCAGACAAACAATGCATAATTTGCTAGTATGAGTCCGTGCAACACTTGGGAGAAACATGCTAAAAATGAACTTACTATATTTTCTAAAAAAAGTCTTATTCCATTCAGGCTGTAACAACAACAACAACAACAACAACAAACAACAACAACAATCTACAAGCTGGACAGCAGCAGAACCACAGAGGTTCATTTCTTACAGTCCTGGAGCCTAGAAGCCCAAGACGGGGCAGACTGAAGAAGTGTATGGCAAGGGACAGATACCTGCTGGTATTGGCCATCCTCTTACCATGTCCGCACACGGTGGAAAGGACGGAGTTCTCTCTTGGGCCCCTTTTATAAGGCCACTAATCCTAATCGTGACGGTACCACCCTCATAACATAACCACCTTGCAAAGCTCCATCTCCCTCCTCTTGGATCTTAGGGTTTCAACACAGGAGTTTTGGGGGGCGGCACACAGTTATTCAGAGCATCACATATTAGCGGTGGCAACCTGACCACTTCTGCCTCAATCTCCTCTTCGGACCATATCTTGTTCTAGGGTTTTTACCTATAGTTATCCTGGTCAGGGGGTAGGATGGGGAGGTCAGAGAGGAGGGGCAGGAGAGGGGAGGCAGGAGAGGGAGGCTAGTGGAAGAAACAGTCTGAGAACTAAAGTGACCAATAACACACACACACACACACACACACACACACACACACACACACACACACACACACGGAGAATGTGCAGAGCTGGTCCCCAGGTGCCTTACCTCTCTTTATCCTTTGTCCCACTGTCCATCCCTCATCCCCATCTCTCCCTCAGGCTCACCTTGGAGTAGGTGGCCCCGTTGATGACCTCTCCTTTACGTAGCCAGATGATGGAAGCTGCGGGCTTGGCATTGTCCGCGTGGCAGGTGAGGTTGAGAGGGTCCCCTGCCCGAAGGCTGATCACAGGCCCTCCTAGGATGATGGGGTCATCTGGTGGCACTGTGGGGAGAGGAGCAGAGAGGTTAAGTTGGGGTAGGTCTCTATGTGACATGGCAGAGAATAATGAGCAATAATGGTTATACCTTGATAAAGAGTGTCACCCTCTGTATTCTAATGATAGTAATAGTAAAATGATATGCTGTTCTTCATCTTGTCATGCCAGGAATAAGCATGGGTGAGGATAGGCAGGTGTCCCTAGCCTGTTTCACTGACCTGGAAGCAGTGCTTTGCAACTGACATACCAGGGAACCACAAGATCTTTATTTTCAATTTAAAAAAAAGAGAAGATTTATTTTTGTTTCTTTTTAAAGATTTATTATTATTATTATTGGTTTTTCAAGACAGGGTTTCTTTGTGTAGCCCTAGCTGTCCTGGAACTTGCTCTGTAGACCAGGCTGGCCTCGAACTCAGAGATCGGCCTGCCTCTGTCTCCCGAGTGCTTGGACTAAAGGCGTGCGAAACCATGGGCTGGCCCAAGATTTTATTTTTAGTTGTGTGTGTGCATGCGTATGCACTCGAGTGTCAGCATTCACAGAGGCCAGGGGCGTTGGATCCCCTGGAGCAGGAGTGACAGGCACTTGTGAGCTGCCTGGTATTTGTACTGGGAACCAGGCTCTGGTCTTGAAGAGTAGTGCCCACTTTTAATAACTGAGCCATTAATCCAGCCCTGACTTTTTTTTTTCTTTTCTTTTCACCAAGCTTTGTTACATCTCTCACAACAGTCTCGCAGGGAAAAACACAATTTTTTATCCCAATTACATAGACCTGGAATTTGAGGGTCACCAAGGGACTTGTTCAAGGTCACACGGCAAATGTATGGTGGAACTGGGGCTGGAAGCTGTGCCTTTGACCCTTGATCAGGCTGGTCCCTCCCTCAGGTGACAGGTGACAGGGCAGGTCTTTGGCTCTTCAGAGTTTGAGCCCAGGTCTTTCCTGAGCTCTGTCCTTTAGAGTAGTTCCTGGACCCTGATCCCCACTCAGAAGGAGCCTCTCTTTCCTGACATCTTTCTCTCTTCTCTTCTCTTCTCTTCTCTTCTCTTCTCTTCTCTTCTCTTCTCTTCTCTTCTCTTCTCTTCTCTTCTCTTCTCT